TAATCCACTCACCATATTATTTTCCAAATGATTAGTAAATATCTTATCAGTAAGGGTAGCAGAATGGGAAGTTATTCTACTAGGCTTAGTTATAACCGGATATAGACTCATGCTATACATAGCAGATGTAATTTCATCAGTTGATGAGTTCTTATTAGGATTTAATAGATTTATATTGTAATCACCACAAATGAATTTGACCTTTTGCTCGGTTCTTGCAAACAAACCCTCCAATATTTCTCTAACTGTATCAACATTGGAGCTGTGAGCTCTATAAACACAGCTGACAAGAATATTTTTCTGTCTTTCCATGTTGATTTCAACGCTAATACATTCACACACATCATCAATAGCCTTAGTCATGCTCTCTACAATCTTATATTTGAAGGTTTTATCTATATAGATAGCCGTCCCTCCTCCTGCTTTATTTCTTCTGTTCATGAATTTAAAGTCATACCCATCCAGCTCAAAATCTACCCCTTCTCTGCGCTCAGCCAGGTTTCTGAAATTGCAACTACACTAAAAGGTGTTTTGAACTGACTTAAATAATCTTTAATGTTATGAAAGTTAGCGTAAAGACTTCTACTGTTGAAGTGGATGATTGATATGCCATTGTCTACTTTTATCTGTTTTAAATTGATCTTCACTATAGTAACAGCACTTATTGTTAACATTCTTAAAAAAGTTACTCTCAGGATCAATGTCTAAATCCTGATCCTGCATATAGGAAACTGAGAGACCCGATTTCTCCCTTCCACCCTGATGACATCACTCACATATCTATACCCACACACACACACACACACACACACACACACACACACACGCCCAACCATGATAACCAACACCACCCTCTGCAAGAAACTTTCTGCTCATACCCATAAAGCAAAACACAACAAATAATAATAATAAGCACACACCCCCAAAACAAGACAGGACAAACAAAGACAAAGTAAATAAATAGGTATATGTCCATTCACAAAATAACCAGATAATAAAAGGAAAAAATAAGTAACTGTCCACATGCAGGCTACCAGTCCCATTACTATGCATGCGAAGGAAGGAATATCACACTTTGTCCTGTGAACGCAGCATGAGGGCCTTGAATGCAGCGTGATGACGTTTCTAGCAGCTGTTGGAGCAGCGCCAGCTTGTGACGCAGTTCAACATTTTCGGTGTGTGCTGACAAACAACCGGTTGAGTCCCTGCTAAGCTCCTTCCTGCTGTCTCCACATCAGTCCTGTAGTATAAATCTACTGACGGAACATTCACCGACACTACCTGCTGCTCTCAGCCGCCTTAAGAGGCTCAGACAGCGGCAGAGCAGCGGCTCGTCTCCGCCTCCTCCACAGACTCTCTGTTAGACAAGTCACACTCGTGTTAGATTAAAGTCCTGCTGTCTCTAGACCAACTAAACTAACGGCAGCCTGTGTGAACGAGTCAAAGGCTTTTAAACGGCTTATATTACCTTCAGCTGGAGGTGCAGGTGGAGGAAACAAGCTGCGTCACCACCATCCTTCAAAGTGAAAGTAAAGTTTACACAGGAAGGAAACAGTTGGAGAGGCGCGGGACTGTTAGACACGAGTCATATCCGTTAACAGTTTGTCTGCCAGCTTCAGTTAGCTGAAAACTAATCTGTAAAGGTTTGAAGAAGAACAACAAACACTGACATAGTTTACAGGTCCCACTGTTTATCCTGTTGGACACTTAATGTGTTTATACATGGACTCACACAGCCTGAGGACTTTTCTCTGAGCTCATCTCTGTGTTTGATTGGAGCACATTTGTCCACATTCAAGTCACTAAATGTCTTTTTCCTCTGATTATTACAGTGTCTGCAACATGCAGATATTTAGTTACTGTGCAACACTTTGATCGCATTTGATTTACACCTTCTTTTCTTTGTATTTATTTACTATGTTTTACTCTTCCATGTCAGAGAGAGAGGTCTTCTGTCCAGAGTGCAGGAAGCGACTGATGCCGTCCAAAATGGAGAGTGATTTTGAGATCAGACGACACTGATGCAAGTGACGGAGAGGCAGCCCAAACACACACACCATGCTCAGTGACAGGTATCGCTGGCTGAAAAATACTTTGATCAGACCAGTGTGGATTGTTCTGGTCCTGATGTCACAGATGACGCAGTGTCTCTTCACACGCCACTGGAGTTTTAATACGTGTTCAATGTTGGTCTGTGGGACGATCACTGTCAGAGCCCATTGTCCTCAACTGTATCCGTCTGCGACCTGCAAGAGAGGGGCGTAACCTGTAGGGGGCGTGGTGTGTACTTACGTCACTGATATAGGTCACGCCCACTACACACGCATCTTAAAGGGATATGAGCCCAAATAGGTACTAATACAGTTTGACCACAGTCCAGCTGCAAAAACGTCAGTATTTTTGCTTACGCATTCTTTGCCCTATAATAAATGTATTCAAAAGCGTAGAAATATTCTTATTATTATTCTTTTTTAAGTGGTAAAGGAGTAAAAAGGCAGGATATTATGAATATGAAAGTAGCGAAATACATAAGCTGACATTACTTTAGACTCAGACTCAGAAAACTTTATTGTCCTTTCATCTTACATGAGATGGAAAGTGAGCTGATTGTGGAATATTGTTATTATTACTATATACAGACGGTATGTAATTATCTTTTGTACATTATTAATATATTTTAAGGATAAGCTACATGAGAATGAGTTGAGAAGATGAGAATTACTTTATTAATCCCCAAAGGGGGATTCATTTGTCTGGCAGCACAAAGCCTAATGGAGGCAGGTATGAAGGATCTTGTGAATATCTCCATTCTGCACTGAAGAGGAGCCATTCACCACTACTGTCTTTTGGTCTGTCATTGTGTTTGTTGTTAAGTGGCTGATCTTATCACATTCATTTATTTTTACTGTATGAGGACTGTAGCTTTGTTTTTTCTTCTGGTACCTTATGAATGTTTTTATGAATTCATGTCATGTGAATGGCTCTGTGAACTGTAGAAACTGATTGCCCTTTGAGGGTTAATAAAGTTTGTTTTTATCAGAATGTTTATTGATGTTATTTTACTTTTAGCAGGACATGCATACATTATAAAAATACAATGTGTTGCGGCTATTTGTCCTCAATTTAGTGATCAAAAATCAAAATATCAAAAAACTAAAATAAGACAAAATCAAATCAAACGGTCACTGAGGCACCTAGGGAATTAATTTACGCAGGAAAAAACAAAGTCCATTGTCCAGGCAAAAATGAAGTTTCTTCAGTTTATTTTTCCATTGGCAAACAAACAATCAAAGAACAATGGCCTTTGCCGCCTCTCTTGTCCTGGTAAAAAACCATGAACCCTCCCAGGTGCCTGGCTCACCTATACCTGCATACCCATATATGTAGATTCACCTAGTGTGCCCCAGCTACCCAGTACCTTCAAAATAAAAGCATTAATAAGTACTCAAATTAACTCAAACAATACTAAATATTATAAGCAAACTAAAGGTGTATTCTTCAGAACTAAACAACAAAAAATAATTAAATAATTAGTGAAATTAAATATTACAAGAATAACAAATAGCTCCAACACAATGCATAAATGCATATGTTCTAAAAAATAAAATATATAATAAATACAAAAAAACATTTCAAAGCTTGTCACGTTTGTCACGACCTGGCTCAAAAGTCATGACAAAAGGAACAACAGCACGCCAAAGTGCCGATAAATAAAACAATTTATTTCTTTTCTTCAAAGGAAACGATTTAGAACAGAGGACCAAATAGATGAGGTGTGTTTGTCAGTATTATCAGTTGTGTAAGTGTGTTTGAGGGTTTGTGTGAGTGTCATGTTGGATGCAAAACCAAAAGACAAAGAAACCAAACGTGCAGGCGCTGGCAGGGATCTGGGAGAGTGAACTGCGCTGGGGGTTGGGTCCCTAAAGTCGTATGGAACACCGGACCCAGGTGCTCCTAATCAGCCGAGCCGGGACGTCCAAATATGGGCGGCAGCAGCATTTCCACTTCAAAACAGAAGAGAATGGTTAAAGGCCCCAGTAGGGCCGTGACACATTTTATTGGAGGAGTCAAAAGAAAGAAAGTCAATTTGTGAAGCCATTACACCTTATAGCTGGCTAAGAAAGGCCTCAGAGGAGAGGGCTCTGCGCATTTGATCCTTGAAAGCTTGTAGCTTCTCTGTTGCCTCCTCTGATAAGTGCCCCATCAAGTCTTCTTGCATCATTTTCAAGTCACTGTCAAAAAACATTTTGGTGAACCCTGCAGCAAAGTGAACCCTCTTCCTCAGAGAGGATCTTTGTCCCATGAGAGCAGGCACAGTGTCCACAGTGTAAACAACTTTCACTGGTGATTTGACAGTCACTAGAAGCACATTATGACCCTTTGTAAAAGTTTCTGTGTGGTACCTGTGTTGTACATGAGCTAACGTTAGTGGCTAAGGACTGAGAGGCTGTCCGGTGTGTGTGAGTGTGTGTGTGTGTCTGAGGAGTGTCAGTACGTTAACTTGTTAGCCGTAGCCTTGCTGGTTGTCATGTTAACGTCATCGTCGGCAGCCCTGAGTAGCTTGTAAAGCTTTCGCATAGTTAGTTAACACATGTGTTATCGGCCCATGTGTTTACTGCTACAGAGAATTAATAAATCTTTGGTTTATTTGCACAACGTTGCCTCTCTGCCGTCTTTTATCACGCTTGCTAATACTAAGTTAACTTTACCAGCAGATGTGTATGAGGCACAAACTGAGGCTACAGTTAGCAGTGTGCTGATGCTTAGTGGAATTTCTTAATCTTTTCTGTCAAACTAATGTGCATTTAATAAAGAGACAGAGACACTGGGGTGCATGTAGTTATGACTGAGACAACCTTAAGGGCACAATAACGGCCAGTTCAAAACAGGGCATGCTACACTGTATGGTTAGGAGGGGCATTACGGCCACACTCCGGGGCATCCATGGCACTGGCCGTTTGGCCGTGGTATAATTCCTGCCCTGATTATTACAGCAGAGTCACAATTTCCAAGTTATTTCTGGCTACATTACAACAGCCACAGTTTCTAGCTTAGATTTATCTCCTTGGGTCAACATTTTAGGATCGTTTATAATAGAAATACATATATATATATATGTTGCATGTAATTTATCAAACGGACAAATAACCCCTCTGAAACTATCTTGTTAACGTTACACAGCAACGGGCTAGCCTCCTTCTGTCTGCCCAATAATATTTAATATTGTGGATAAAATATATAGCTTACTTGCTTAGATCATCGCCCCGGGTAATAATATAACTATATGCAGCAATTGTATAAGTGTGTTACATTTACTAAATAAAATATAAGGACACTTACAGTCTGGATACGATCCGCCATTGTTCTTTCTTCTTCTTCTTCTTCTTTAACGGCAGTAGCAAACTTCGGTCTGTGTGGTTACTGTATAGGCTTACAGACTACATTTTGCATAATAAAACAAACACTCATACCCGTTTATCTAGTCCTGTACTTCTAAGATACTCAAATACTCTACTCATTATTCTATCTGTCGAGGGCTTATCTAACATTTCTTTTATGCTGAATTCCATCTCTATTTCCTCAATATTTCTTTTTAATTTTTCTCTTTCCCTCTCATACTTTTTACATTTCATAAAAATATGTTTAACACTTTCTTCCTCTTTACAAACACTGCACTCTCCATTTCTGTGTTTCCCTATCACAAATAACGTTTTACTTAGTCCTGTATGTCCTAATCTTAACCTTGATAAAATAACCTCCTCCCTCCTGTTCCTGCTTCCCTGTCTCAGTCCCCCTACAGAGGGGTTTATAAAAAACACATCTCTTCCTTTGCTTTCCTTATTCCAACGTTTCTGCCATATATTCTTGATTTCTTGCTTTATTAAAGTTTTAGTTTCTGCTTTACTCATCTTAGTTGTTGCTGTAAGTGTATCATGTTTGAGAGCTTTCTTTGCATACCTGTCTGCAAGTTCATTTCCTTGCACTCCTACATGCGCTGGTACCCAAACTAATTTTACATGCAACCCTAATCTTTGAATATTAAAAAGTAACACAAATATTTCATATATAAGGTCCTGTCTGCAACCTGAAATGCCTGATTGCATATTTTCCAATGCTGACAATGAGTCTGTGCATATTATGGCTCTTAATGGTTTTATTTCCTCAACCCATTGCAATGCTAGAATTATTGCAATACTTTCAGCTGTAAACACTGATACATCATTACTTATCCTTACAGCTTTCTTTAATTCTAATTCAGGTATCACATAAGCTGCACCTACCTGACCTGTTTCTGGACCTTTTGATCCATCTGTAAAAATGTTAATATACCCATAATAGTTACCTAGATGCATTGTAGTCATCTCTCCACAATTTTTACTCTTCTTAATTTTTGTTGTGAATGATACATCTACCTCCAGATCAAACACCAGAGAAGAAGAAGAAGAAGAAGAAGAAGAAGAAGAAGAAGAGCGATGCTAAAAATAAACATAGCATTTAAAAAGAACTTCTCTGGATAAATAACAGTGAAAACATGAATCAGTAAAATTGTAATGTTATTAAGAGCTCACCTCTCTGCAGCAGAGGGCTGATGGACTTTAAAATTAATGTCTCGATCAACTGACCAGTCACTCTTTAAGGACACACAGCTGGGTTCAGGTCCAGGTCCAGGTCCAGGTCCAGGTCCAGGTCCAGCAGAGTCTGGTCTCTGATGGATCCTGATGGACACATGAATTCATTATGAACACAACACACACACACACACAGAGGTTTGAGTGCTGAGCTGTGACATGGAGAAGAGTCATGGACAGTTAGAGATCCTCATCTCACCTCTGAGCTTTGGTCTGGCTGTCATGTTCCCCACACAGAGTGGTTTTAGAGGGAGG